GTGGTGAGGCGAGGCGACCCACTGACCACCTGGTGGCTTACACCGGGACCTGTGACCTGGGACAATGACTGTGTCATACAGACATAGATATATATACTAGGAATTTAATTAATCAATTTTTTGGCTGAACTTACTATCAGCAGAACTTCCTTCAGATATTTTCTTCAAGGGTCTGATAAATAGATATACTAATGTCTTGTTAACTAGCTGTTACCCGTGACTCCGTCCGCTTTAGTATTAAGAAAGTATCTGTATATCCAAAATAACACATCTTTGAACACGTCCTGCTTGTAAAGATATTGTTTCAGGTAAGGACTAAGTAACGCAAAACTTACCTAAATAACTTCTCGATATTATAACATTACAAAAAAACATTGTAGGTATGTGATTTCATTTTAATTATAATGGAAATAATAATATTAGCGATCTTCATAATTTTAAACGTGCCTGGTGTAAAAAGATATATATATATATATAAAAGAAAGTTGTGTTAGTAACACTACTTATACTCAGGAACGGCTGTAGGGATATGGTTGAAGTTATTGGAGAGATAGCTTAGACTCAGCAGACGGACATAGAATACCTATTTATGAATTCGTTAGACTACAAACATACATACAATTTGCTACTAAAATCCAAAAGGTTTATCTACTCTAAATCGAAACAGTTCCCCTGGTCAGTACCTAATACATTTCTAATTATAAAACTAACGCGGACAAAGTTGCGTGCAAAGCTAGTACCTAATAAATGAACTGTGTATTAACAACATTGAGGTGTGATGTTACTTATATTCACGAGACATGTTGCAAATTTAATAATATACATGTAAGATCACTCGTGTTTGTTTGTTCCACACGCGTAGACGTTTCCTAGAAGTCGTCAGGTGGAAAGTTGATGTCACTGTGTGTAGTAAATCAACGCATTTCTCGCACCGTCCCCTCACCGCGCCCTCGCAGATAGAAAACATATTTTTTGCAATCATATAGGAAACGTAAGAACTACAAGATTATACATTACTATGTAGATTTGATATACATAATTGTTACTCAGTTCATTTGCGGTGGACTGTAATGGAACTTCATTAAAATATATTGCAGACTAGAAGACCCGGCGAACTTCGTATCTTCTATAATCAAGAAATATCTGTTACGTTTATTTATTTATATTTTTTGAGTTTACCTATTAAAGACATAAATCTCCGTGTTCTGAAGTGCGACAAAATGATTAACATATTAGTTAGTTGTCAAATCTAATGTCCCAAAACCATTTGTATGGGAAATAGAAAAGCGCTGTTTTTAGGGTTTTCCCGGAAATTAATAAAAAATTTTCAGCTTCTAAACCTTCCCTGAACCTCCACGAACATTTGAAGTCTAAGATCAGATAAATCCTTTCAGTCGTTCTCGAGTTTAAGTGAGACAAAGGAACAGCAATTCATTTTTATATACATAATATAGATTAAAGATGCTAGTATTATGTCATGTAGATATTTGTGTATTTGTTCGTAAATTTCTGCGACAATCTTGAGTGATACGTCGTCGCGTGGTTTGCATTCAGTAGTTTTACATAATCAATTTGTATTCAGTTTGACTTCAAGCCATCGATACAACGATAACAACAGTTACGAAATGATTCCTGGCAGTGCACGGACATGTTGCAAAAACGGATAATTTATTGAAGTTGATTTAAATAATAATTAGAACAACAACTAACTTATAAGTCGTGCTGGCATAGTAGTTAAAGGCTCGCCTCTTGTACATGAGGGAGCGGGTTCGAAATCTGACAAGTACTACTGATTTTTCCGAGTCATATGTACTTTCTAAGAGTATTTAGACACCATTAACTGATGAAAGAAAACATCGTAAGGAAATCTGGACTTATAATTTTAAATTATAAGTTTGAAATCACCAACCCGTCTTGAGCAAGCGTGGTGATTAATGCTCAAACCTTCTCCATGTGAGAAGAGGCCTTTGCTCAGAAGTAGGCTCTAATAAGCTGATGATGAAACAACTTATGCTTATATATTTATGTTCTGTAAAACTCAAAAATAGTTTTAAAAGAAAAAATATATATATATATATATATATATATATATATATATATATATATATATATATATATATATATATATATATAACTGTATAATATATATAACTGTATAATAAATAATGCAGAAGTAGCTTTAATGGCAATTGTTTTTCATGAGAAATATACAGTAGACGGACTGAGTCAAAACAATATGTTGATGAGAGGATTTTAAAAAATAGTGGGAGTTGATTAGCTAGAATTATATTGTTTGAAAGTTAATACACCTTATTAAATATGACCAAAAAATAAAAATATTAAAATGAAACAATTATTTTTAGGATATACTACACATGCTTTATTTTGATCATAAACTACATACTCCCGTCGTTTCGGTTACTTTTCAGCAACCGTGATCATTAAGACGAGATGTGAATGATATTATTAATTCCTAACAACTTAACATAACTAACTTCATCGTCTAAAGTTTTAAACATGTGTATTATCTTCTTCTTCTTACTTCACTCTTGTCAAAGTGGCTACGATCCTCATTTGATTTCATAATGAAGATTTTCTTGGGAAAATATTCACATTTAAATGAAACTAATAAAAGAGCTCACATCTCATCTGTCCGTGACCGCGGTTGCTGTAAAGTAACCGAAACGTCGGGAGTATATAGTTTATAATCAAAAATAAAACGCGAAGTAAAATCCGAAAATATTAGTTTCATTTAAATGAGTACTCGCGAAAATCTTAGACCTCATTATGTATTCAAATTGTTTTCCCTCACCTTCTGTACCAGGTTTCTTGAACATTATTTAAATGCCTAGGCTTCTGAAAGTATCTTTTTAAAGTCTCATAGCCTCTGAATATGTATTATAGGTAATTAATATATTCATACTTACATTATGTAGTGTTGCTTATTAAACCTGTATTCGTATAAGTAATTTCTTCCGCGGCCGTCACACGGGTGACGGGTGACTGACATCAGTTAAGTCATATAAACTAAACATTATATACAGGGTGACTGGTGAATTACTATCAATATTTAAGGAGAATACTCGGTACATGATTCTCATTCGAATTATGTAAAAAAAATAGGCACTTAATTTTTGACAAAATTTCCGTATAAATAAATAAAGTGTTGACACGTTCCAAGTGTTCCAAGTGTGGACGCGTGCGGCGGCGTGCTGATACAACACTACGCCGCCAAACGCGTATGTGTGAGTGTGTGTGTATACCTAATCTGTAGGGTGTTCATACGATGCGTAATTAATTACATAACTTTTGGTTAACTTTACTTAGAAGTTTATTAATATTTATGTTATATTAATTTTTATTTTGTCATATATGATCGTCAAATATCACGTCCTCAAATATCGATAGTAATTCACCAGTCACCCTGTATATTGTACTGTTACTATTTATTTAGTTTTCAGAAACCAGGTTTACTACAGAATATGTCATATTTTAATTATCCGTGATAATCAACAGACAGCTATGCTTATTTTTGTGAATAATTTGTTGCTTATTGTAAGCATCACTTCATTATAAAGATATCAAAGCTATATTAAGTCTTAGTGTTTTTGTGAATTCTTGATTGTTTGCGTATTTAAAAGCACGGAATTATTAAATATATTTTAGTTTTTTATTTTAAGTATTTATTTATATTTAAGTTAAACTGTCTTCATCTCCAATATTACTCATAAAAATCACTGAGTACTAACTTATTATTATTTGATTTTACAAATAATTTTATATTCTCAGTTATGTATATTGGAACCACTTTTTATACATATTCTATTGATATAAAAATTGCTCATAAGTCACAAACAATAAAAAATTATAATACATGGGCGAATATACAAATATTATATTGATCATGACCATACTGACCTTCAATAATAAGATTCATATATGTACATTAGACGACATTATTTTGTTTACATTTACTGATAGAAGATAATAATTAATTAGTTTTACAACAAGCCGTTCATACATAAGACATCAACGAGACTCAATAGTGAGAAATATTTTAATGTTTTAACTAAAATTAGAGAATAACGGAGTTTATTATACATTATACATTCTGAGAAGAAAAAGTAATATTTGAACCGTATCATAACTATAATATTTGTTATAATTCGAAACACATTGATAAGTAATAAGTATATTATTAATATTAAGTAAAAGGAACACACAGCCTCGATTCATGTCCACAGTTTGAAGGTTCTATCTCATTCAGTTTATATTTGATTCAGTAGGTATTTGAAAGAGAATTTTACACAAAAAAATATAATATTATAATATTAGTTGATAAAATAAAATTCTGAGTAAGAAAATCAATTTTTATATATACATATTTAAAAACCGTTCATTCACAATTATACGAATAATACTGTTATTGTTACACATAAATATATTTTATTCATACTTACCGAGTTCTAAATTAAAACCAACTCAGTCATAACAACAAAAGTGTCTCTATTCCATTATTACAATAAGTATATATAGTTGAGGAAGTATTCGATCACATTCCATAGTCCTCGCATCAGCTGAAAGGTCGAGGGTCGAGCGTGAGGCCGCGCCCACCAACAGAATACATACATACAAACATACATACATACATGTTTATTACTCGTGTGATCACACAACAGAAATATACACTTCAACGTTCGTCAGACGTGTGATCACACGAGACTTCACACGTTTCAATGTGATAGTGCCTGTATATGTTTTCATCTTTCCAGTTGGGTCGTGTGATTTTACCAATGTGATTTTTCCGAGTCATAATATATGTACATTCTAAGAGTATTCAGACATCACTGATTAATGCATTCCCAAAGAGGGTTGATGTCAGGCAGGCGGATAAACAGATAGTCAAAAACTATTCACGATATATAAGGTAGAACCTGGCTAAAGCTGGGAACTTGCCAGGTAGAAGAAAAAGTGTCTGTAATATGTTTTCATCGTTCCAGTTGGGTCGTGTGCCAGTGAGTGTGATGGTGCCTCCTCGCTACGCCACCCTCCCCTTACCACCAAATCCTTACCACGGTCAGCCTATCTTCTATCCGATGCCAGAAGCTGTAAGTACCTTAATTAAGTATTAGATACGCTTATTCTATTTAGAGTAATGCTTATTTTAAATGGATTTTTAACTACAGACGATAGTTGAGTGTTTGTTGTAAGAATATACAGGGTGACTGGTGAATTACTATCAATATTTTAGGAGCATACTCGGTACATGATTCTCATTCGAATTATGTAAAAAAATAGGTACTTAATTTTTGACAAAATTTCCGTATAAATAAATAAAGTGTGGACACGTTCCAAGTGTTCCAAGTGTGGACGCCTGCGGCGGCGTGCTGATACAACAGCACTCCGCCGCACGCGTGTGTGTGTGTGTGTGTGTATACCTAATCTGTAGGGTGTTCACACGATGCGTAATTAATTACATAGCTTTTGGTTAACTTTACTTAGAAGTTTATTAATATTTATGTTATATTAATTTTTATTTTGTCATATATGATCGTCAAATATCACGTCCTCAAGTATTGATAGTAATTCACCAGTCACCCTGTATACGGCACCCGCGCGATGAATCCATGGAATGCTGATAAGTTTCGTCTCGTCTATATAAATATATATTCTTATCTTTAAATTTTTTCAATAATATTCACAGTATGAGAAAGTTTAGAAGCAAAAAGTCCATTCATCACACTTTACAATTGTCACTACTACAATATTCACACATCACTACAGACGGTCATTTTTTATAGCTTATATTTGAAATGACATGAAACTTTCAATATATATGGAACTTCTCATCATTCAATGTATTTATATCCGGGTGCCGGTCCATCGTTGTAGTGAGAGGAGCTTCAACACTGCCTGGGATTTGCGATCCAGGTGTAGGTTTAAGAGGTCCCTATCTAATGCGTTATACGCTCACCTCCACCGTCCAAGCTCCTCTATCTACCTAACCAACATATATATACTAACTTCTTCCCTCTCTGTTCCCAGCGTCGTCGCCGCCGCTCCCCCCCGGGTCGCCGGCCCCGTCCCCGCCGGTCCCGGGACAACCAGCTCACGAGGTCCCTGGAGAGGATCCACAGGAAGAGACGACCTGAACATCCTACAGTGGACGACCTTAAGAGAACATACACCGGGCTAGACAGGTTAAAGAGATGATAATAAGTAATCATGTCAAATATTTCGAGGACAAAATCTTCTTAAAGTCTCCTTTATTGTTGGCTGAATTAAAAGTTTCTCTTCATACTATCAAGTAAATTTAATTCAGGACTCTTGTTAGTTTTAATAAAAAATGTTGAAAGTCCCTTTACATACGAATCAAATATTCAGAAAACATTGTTCTACTAAACATATAAATCAATTCCTAATTCTTATATAGTTTTGTAAAAAAATACACACTCCCGACGTTTCAGTCACTTTTCAGCAACCGTGATTGCGAAGACGAGATGTGAATGTCTGTCAATTATTTGTCAGTAAAACAATTCCTATATATCAAAGTTTAATTCATATACTACGTGTTTAGACCCACGTTTCTCGTGAAAATCTCTTGGAATACAGCTATATATCTAATAATATTAATGAGTACATATTGTATATTATTTCAGGACGTACGCGGAACAGTTCATAGCGGTGTGTGACTCCAGCAGGCACGCGGCCGAGCATCACGACTCACTCGCCTCCACACACACTGACTCCGAACACTCACAACACTCACACAACTCACATCACTCATAACACTCACAACAACAACTGTCACTGATTAACAACTGGTTCACTCACTCAACACTCGTTAACAAATGTTAAAAAATGAACAACATGTCTACATTTGAACATTGAACACACTCATACCCCACCCTTTACACACAAAGCAACATATATTAAATTACCTTTAGATATATTACCTTGTATATAGTTTTAGGACACGTTACTCTTGCTTTAATCATATATTTATTATTTGTTTATAGTATTATGATTAATTATTATTATCATCCGTCATATTAAACATTGAATAAAATCATTAGATTATAGAATAAGGATATAAAAAAATCTTTATTGTAAGTTTTCTTCGACGACTATTTTGAGTATGAAATAAGTTTTTAATCTTAAACTGATTCTTATAGAAAGGCTTTACCACCTTTTAAAAATAACTAACAAACTAAAATCTACTAACAAATATTAATTTAACACAAATTTGTCAAAAAAGACTTGTATGGAAAAATACTCGAAAACAAATGAGTTATGATTAATTCTACTAACACTCACTAACTGAACTTCTAAAGTTACTTCTATCGTCAAATGTCTGTGTTAAAAGATATTATAAGTGGTCTAGATTAAGTGACATCCAGGCGTTAAAAAACATATCATTGTAAAACATATTATTAGAAAATAATCAAAAAATTATTCGAAAACATCGAAGTCATTAAATAATTAATTGATAAATTGAAATCTATAATTATAATTAGTTATAGTTTAGTTTTTAATTGTACATTGTCTACATGAAGTCCGCTGTACCTAACCGGTGCCAAATTACACGAGCAATTGGTTCGACACATCTAAATTTGCTCAATCCATTGTATTAGTCGTATGTCTTGTTACCATGTTGTTAATTTTAATTTCTACTTCTTTTATTTTATGAAGCGTGTTTAATTTGAGATTATTATTAGTTATGACATTTTTTTTTATTGTAAATATATAATCTTTAGGTAAGTTACACTGTTTTATACTCTGTCCGAGGTCAACCGTGACTTGACAGATGAAAAATTTATATTATCTGTGACGTGACGTCGGGTCGAGCGAAGAGTTATTTTTATATTGGCAACACTGACTCACAGCCGGCTATTATTTGTATATAGATGTATATTTAATGATTTTATACTGTTTAATGTAAATAAATAATATTTTATACAAATGTGGTTTCAATTTAAATCCAGTAGAAGTTTTGTACATTGAGTTATATACTTTTTTATACGATAAATGGGGCAAACGAGCAGACGACCTATCTGAAGGAGGTAGCAGTTTCGCCCATGATCATCTGTAAAATAGTTTTGGGGATGTGTTGCTACCTTTTTTTGGGGAAAAGAAAGAAAAAAGGGTGGGAACAGGGAAAGGGTGGCAAAAGGGAAAGGACAATCGGCTCTCTCACTCATCGATCGAAATTCAGACATTAAAGGCTACTTCACGCTAAATGACTGTGAGAAGGTGGTACTTCCCTGGTCGAGCCAGACCATGTTCGTACTGCAGTAATTTTACCAAGGCTAGGAAATTAATAAGGGGTGTTTAAATAACTTATTTCTTATTAATAATATTTATTATGAATATATTTAGAACTCATTATCACTGAGAGCGGAGTTCCTCCCCACTCGTTCCGTGAGTCTCAGTTCACTCTCCAAGGAACCCTCCGAGCCTTCAGACAACACCTGGACGGGGTCCTCGACACCTGGAACATCATTTATTACTAAATCTGGAACCTGGAACAGCTGGGAACTACATATATATCTTACACGCAATATAATTAATTTTACCGTGCTCGACGAATGAGTGATATGATTTATTGTAAATAAAACTAATATTTTTTGGATATACTGCGCGTTTATTATTATACTAACTTCATACTCTCGAGATTTAGGTTCGTTTGGAGGAACCGTGATCACGTTTTTTTAAAAATAATAAAAAACGACGACATCCAAAAATCTTGGTTTTATTAACTGAATTCTCTCGAAAGTTGTAGAGGACATTATTTCTTTTTTATTCTGTATTAAATACTTAACGATTTTCCACCAAAATGATGGTTTTCATAATTAAACATTTCTCTTACTATGATGCTGAGTAAACTATACTACATATATATGTTCACCTTGTACAATATCCTCGTAGTCACCCGGAGCTCCGATAGTTCGTGTTGCAGGCCGAGGACGCCAGCCTCCTCCTACAGGGAGAGAGAAGAGAGATACAGAAACAGAGGGAGAGAGAGAGACGGAAGATAGAAGAAAAACAAAGGTCTAATACTCAAACAATCATATATAGGGCAGAAATAGTAGAAGTAAAGAGTGTATTATGTATTAGGCAGACCCTGGCTAAAGCTGGGAAATTGCCAGGAAGAAGAAGAAGAAAGAGTGTATTATGTATAGTATAGAATGTTTAATATTTACCATAGAGCTGTGGGTCAGAGAGGTCGCTTTCGGAGCTGGAGCCGGAGTCCGAGGAAAGACGGCCGGGGGCGAGCGGGCCGCGGTCAGGACCTGTATAGGGAGGAGTGGACAAATAATAGACTTACGGAGAACTAAGTACAATGACACAGACACTACTGACTATTAGGAAATATGACTAGACTTTGAACTTGTAAAATATGATCATTATAGATGTTTTGTGTTTATCCTCAGAAAAAGGAGTGTAAATGAGAAGAACTTATAATTTTCATTGAATTGGGTACTTATTGAGGTGTGTGTGTGTGTGTGTGTGTGTATGTGTGTGTGTGTGTGTAAGATACCTGCTGTTTTTATTCTCAACCTCGTCTTAGGCCGCGTGGGAGGGCGCGGCTGCTTGCTCTCTTTGGGTTCATCGCTGGAGTCCAGGTCATCTTGATTAATAATTATTAATGAATGTTACATACCATCTAATATCGCCATAATACTCATCAAGTGTCATTTGTTACCGGAGTCGCTGAGTTTCCCGAGCACATCTTCAGCTTCATACTTGTGTATGAGCTGCATTATGGCCGCTTGTTGTTCTTCGGCAGCCTGTATGTAAAGGTCCACTATTAAAGGATGTTAAGAAATAATTATAATGTCCTAGCTTTCCGCCCGCAGCTTCGCCCGCGTTCAGTTCGGTTATATCGCGTTTCCAAGAGAACATTTCAAAAGTAAGGGATAAAAGCTATCTTATGTTCTTTCTCAAGGTCAACTCTATCTCTGTACCAAATTTCATTAAAATCAGTTCATTGGTTTAGGCGTGAAAGCGTAACAGACAGACAGACAGAGTTACTTTCGCATTTATAATATTAGTAGGGATTCCAAACTAGTTCGTTCACCTCAGCCTGAGCCGTCTCCAGCACACTGAGCCTGTGTTTCAGAGCCTCCACACAGCGGTATCTCAACACGTACTGATCCCACAGACTCGCTATCTCCATCTCTAGAGAGGTGAGCTCACTCTGGTAGGCGGGTCTAGAGAAAGAGATAGAACAAGATAGAAGTACCCTCAAAACTGGGGAGAAATTATAGGTTGATGTAACGACTGAAAGTAGGTTAAAGTGAAACTAAAACTGTTGATAACTTTATGATGTCCCTCGCAAAAAAACATAGGAGTTTTTTCAAAAGTAATACGCGTTGCGAGCTGTAAACATGAATGTTGCACTGTGGAAATCACTTTCATCAACTTAGTTAAGCTTTGCTCTCTGAAAACACTGCATAGTATTTTTATTGAAATTAGATCACTATAAACTAAACCAGGTATTAATCTCCCGCTGGTTCTTGTATCTTCCTCAGTTAAGTCATCATATCTTACTTGATCTTCTGTAGCGTGAGTAGTCTCTTCTCAGCTCTCTGCAGCTCGGCCCTCCTCCTCTCTATCTTGGCATCAAGCGCGGCCTCACTCGCCGCCACGCTGGCCGTCTGTTCCCTCACGGCGTCCACTCGAGACGACATCGCCTCCACGGCGCGGGATAACGCTGTCTCCAGGGACGATAGATCCATTTGACGAGACAGAGCTTTGTTTCTGTGATCCTGAAATAAGATGGACGGAAAATGGAAGAACTGTAAGGAAGAATATCATTCAAATACAAAATTTTAATGATTTATTTTGTGGTCAACCTTATTGTCAGGTTCTTTCGCCAGCAGATCGTATAAAAATGCTCCCTGCGCAGTTATTTCCGTTGCCAAGGTCCTCGCCTGTTTGATTTCCCCGATCTATACACAACATTAGTACCAGATCACAAGATGAATAATGTTCCAATAAGTATATTCGTCTTTATGTCACCCACTCTATTGCTGACGTCATACACCAGCATGTCCGTGTCAGCGAGCTGGTCGTCTCTTCGCGGCGTGTCCAGAGCTGACCGCAGCAGATTGGCAACCTTCAATAGTTCCCGCACTGCCCAGCCGTCCGCTCCATAGATTCTTTTCCCATTTAACTTTAGATTCGCTCGAGAGTGCTGAATATCAGATCATTAATAAACTGATTTTATTTAAAAGTTATGTCCCTCCATATAATTATTACTATATAAGTATACAATTTTACCCGTATGGATATGGGGCAATCAACTGAGCTATTTACGGATTTTCCCATTTACAACTTACAAAGTCTCATAGGATCTAGTAACTAGGTATAAAACTGCTAACTGCAGTCACAACTATCTCAAAACAAATAACACATTACAATTGTCTAAACTCACAATCAGTTACCATTTACGTCTTTGTTATCTGATACAACTTATAAAGTCTCTCAGTAACTTCTAACTAGTTATGAAACTTGATTTCAGTCATAGCTATCACAGAGAACTCTTAACTCACAAATAGTTCAGTGGCGTGAGTGACAAGCGCCACTCTCTGTTCGAGTGTGTCAGCGCCGCCCGCCAGTAAGGCGTCGGGCTCCACACGAGCCGCCAGCCAGCGACTGCAGGCCTCCACCAGCGGCCAGTTGGGACTACGGAAACTCTCCAAAGAAATCAGCTGAGGGAAGCCGAGCGACCGCATGGCCTCGCTGAAGTCTATATCAAAGACAAACACTTTATTTGGGGACTATATAGACATGATGGATGCTTTTAAAAACTCCTACGATAACTAATGTGAGTTTTAATTGTAATCATAGAAATATATGTAATTTGCGAATTACTTGGAACAATATAAACTAAAGTAGTTTTCCGTTGCATGATTCAGATTCAGTAGTTTCATGAACAGAACGTATCTCTAGATTATTTATTATGTATAAGGCCATTTATTATTACAACTTACTTCTTAAATCTCTATACGACATGATAATAATATTTAACAAATCTCGAACTCTTAAAATGTTTGTGTTGACTTTTAATATCGAAACATGTTACCATAACAACCGAGGGTTGCAATATAAAAAATAATATTAAGACTACTTTACGAAAACTGGTAATACACGAGGAACAAAAAGTTTCTTTTAAGAGTTGTCAAAACATTTACAAAAAAATAATTCTTTTTTTATCAAGAAACACATTAGATTTTTTTATGTTTTTCAACTAACCTAACTAAAACCTATATACATATAAGTTATATTTTGTGTTGAAATTAAAAAGAAAACACAATAATAGTTTAATATTTTATTTATTATCTAAAATCTATATTACACAGCTATACTTTTCAATGAAACATTAAATTGGACACGCGTAGGTATACACTTAGTAAACTGATTCTCATTTGATATCAATAATTACAGAGCAGTAAGTGTAACCTATAAGCCACCATTTTGTTTGTTACTTTTCAGAACAACAACAAAATGGTGGATACTGTCTGAAGTGATTTCAGCAATTTATACATGATGTCAACAAAACACATAAATAATTTTCATTTTAAACACAAATATTATGTAGAAACAAATATGAAACAATATATAAACGTATTTACCACAAGTCTTTGTTTTTGGTAAATACTTATATGTACATATGTTGTCATAAAGTCATTAAAGTAGAATCGTCATACTTACTCTTCATTATTTTTAAAGTTTAATAATATAACTGTAATAATAATAGTTCATGTATCAGTTGATTGCTGAATCCTCAGACAGTGAGCATGTCCAATTTAATGAAAGAATCATAAGTCCACGACGGTGGGGGATTGTTTGAGGGAGCGTCTCAGAGCTGCTTCACGTTTGACGGCTACACGCAGGCGGGAGGCTTTGAGGTGCCTGGAACATGAGAAACAGTCGGTATATTATACTGGCTTTCCGCCCGTAGCTTCGCCCGCGTGGAGTTCGGTTATATCGCGTTTCCAAGAAAACTTTTCAAAAGTCTGGGATAAAAACTATCCTATGTTCTTTCTCAAGGTCAAGTCTATGTTTGTACCAAATTTCATTAAAATCAGTTCAGTGGTTTAGACGTGATAGCGTAACAGACAGACAGAGTTAATTTCACATTTATAATATTAGTAAGGAGTAGGGATTATAGTATATGAAGTTGAATATTGGAACTGTTTCAACACATAGGTGTTTCCTTCAACTTATAAGTTGGTTATCTTCTTTACAAGAATAGTAACTCTTTTAATGAGGGTTGAGTATTTTCTACCTGCTTACCATGCTATTGCTTTCAAGTACAATTTTAATTACACACAATATGTACACGTAATAGTAAATAGATATTTAAATGAGACTAATATTTTTCGGATTTTACTACGGGTGTTATTATTTTAAAATACGCGTAATATTATCCTAGAAAAGTAACTGAAATGTCAGTAGTATGTAGTTTTTAATAATAATAAAATATCATTATAATCCGAATAATATTAGTTTCATTTAATTGAATACTTGCGAGTCTTAGATCTCATTATATAAATAGATATTATTAAATTAAAAAAACTTCTTAATTGCCATCAACAACTATCGTTTTGAATGTTATCAAATATGACAAATACAAATTAAGCCTATTAGAAATTTCAACACCCAGTAATCTTTATGAATCTCAAGAAAAATATGTAATGTAAACAATTTATAGTTCTAGTTTAATTAATATTCCATAGAACTATATTAACTTCCTCATATATGTATTGTGCCATAAAAGACTGAATGATAGAAACTAATATATTAAAGTAATCTACCTACATTACTTGACATCATAATATTATTTAACAACACCGAGTAAGCATAACTAATATATGTATAATAAATACCTTTGCCTTATTCTTTCTTCAGTCTCAGGGGAGGGCTCTCGTTTAGTGACGGCAGCGTCTCTGATTATGTTCCTCAACTTTTGGAGACAGTCGGCCAAGTTCAGTTGTTGAGAACGAGTGACGTCGGAACGAATTACTAAGTAACCCTCCTTGGTTAGTTTATTATTGTGCTGGGGATTATATTAATATTTACAGGTCAATTATTATGTTGTAGTAGGGATTTTGAAAGTTTTGTTAAAAAATTGTGTATCTTATATGTATGTTAGTATTATTCTTTTATAGTTTCTATTTAGTATATTATACTGAGCACATTAAAATTAAAGAGAGTTTAGTCTTTGTATTCATCTAACTTTTTAACTAATAAACATTTTCTAATAAGTATCTTTGAGGTGGATTTCACGAATTCATTGTTCTCCAGAATACAAATGTTTGTATGATATTAAATAATGTATTTATTATGAACATACCAGTTGCTGTAATTTCTCTCTGATCTCAGCCGGAATCCAGTCCGCTTCACTTACTTTGAACCTTAGATCTACTTTTGTATGAACCTGTAAGATAGAATGAATGAATATGGTGATAGTGTTTTCGTTATTAACTTTATAATTATTTAAATATACTTGTTATAAATAAATATTAATTTGACGTATATTCATAGTAAATCAAGCATTACGAACTTTGTTAACGTTCTGTCCCCCGGGTCCTGAACTGGCGCTGTATGTTATATCTAACTTGTGCATTGGAATAAATCCTGAAAATTTTTCTTTAGGGTCCGGAGTCTGAAAGAAAAGGACATTACAAATTCATACAACATTTTGACTTAAAACTATGAAATAGAGAGAAATATACAAACAAATGCAGGTGTAGAAAGCTTTAAACTACTGTTCGGATATAATGTCTCCAAAGATAATGAACTTTTATAAGCCATACATCTCTGGAGTGTAGAAAATGGACTTTGCGTAGTGATAATACGCATTAATTGCCTCCGCAATGGCATTAATGCCATTTTTAATATTATGCGGTTTAATCAACAAATACTTCTAAGCTCTAAGGCTACTTTAAATCGTAACCTAGAATACTTTTTTTTATTTTGACACTTCAGTTGTCAGGATTGACAATTTAATTTTACTTTCTGTGATAGATTCCATAAAAATTGGGTATCATTTAAAATAGAAAAAAGTATAACATAATTTAAAATAAGTATAAAATATTAAAAACTATTTTAAAAATTAAAACCCCTATAATAATATCCAGCATAAATAGTCAAATTTTTAGCATTACTCAAATTATTAACAGTTTCGAATATTGTTCATAAAGACAAAGAGACCATACATTTTTTACGTTCAGAATGGATTGAAAATAATCAATATTATATTTTTACGGAAATTATTAGTTATTGACTAAATTTTCAAAATAATTCTTATATATATGGAGCTATTGATTTATTTGTTTGTTACCTTATTATTTTTAATTCATACATAATTAATCGAAAACAACGAAGAAAAGGAATGAAAAACGATAAAAATGAAGCTATATGCAAACGATTATATCTCTAAGGAAGCGAAAAGTATATAGTGGGTAATGAAATTTCAAAAAACTTTAACTGCTATTAATAATAATATGGTCAAGTACTGCCTAACGAAATAATATCAAAATCCTCGATCTATATAACAACTTCGCATTTAGGGACCAGGCCATAATCTTCACACTAGTCCGATTCGAGCACTTAAAGCGGACGAAGAAAATAAAATTAAAAAAAATTGTCAGCGTTTTTTGGTTTTCTGAAAAAGAATGCTAAGACCTTTTTATAACTTATCATAAATTATAAAAATAACTTTCGATTGTTTAAAAATTATTATTGTTTAAAAACTCCTGAAGCAATAACAGAGAGGCAAGTGCAGCAGAGAATGATATAAAAAGATGGTTTCAGGAAATTTAAATACATCTACTAGATAACGGTTGGTTAGAAATTCTATTGGAAACAAAAAACCCTTGTTTAGAGAATAAACCAATTTCTTTCTTTGAGCATTATACATATGAATGCAAAGAAAATTTACGAAAATAACCTCGCTACGGCCAAAATGCTAGTAATGGTGATGTTTACTTTTGCTTCCAATGGCAAAATCAGTTCATCTATATAGTATTCCCATGAACATGTTTCAAGTGAAATTACCATATATGTACCACAAGATTGACGTATAAGTCAATGTCAAAATGAGAACAGAAATTCTAACTCTATATACCTATAGTCTTATATTTTGCATGTTATGCGAAATCAAATAGCCTTCCCAGTCTCATACGTTGACTTCAACATGTTATGACCTAAGGAAGGAAGTTCTTTGGTGATAAACCTTATACAGAAGAAGTAATTTTTGTAGAAGTAATTTAATTTAATTAGATTAAGGTGTTGTTGTTGTTAAAAACTTTTTAGACAATGCTGTGAATACCTGTAATAGGTGTACCTATGAAGACTACAGGGTGACTGGTGAATTACTATCGATATTTGAGGACGTGATATTTGACGATCATATATGGCAAAATAAAAATTAATATAACATAAATATTAATAAACTTCTAAGTAAAGTTAACCAAAAGTTATGTAATTAATTACGCATCGTGTGAACACCCTACAGATTAGGTATACACACACACACACACACTCGCGCGCGGCGGCGTGTTGTTGTATCAGCACGCCGCTGCACGCGTCCACACTTGGAACACTTGGAACGTGTCCACGCTTTATTTATTTATACGGAAATTTTGTCAAAAATTAAGTACCTATTTTTTTTACATAATTCGAATGAGAATCATGTACCGAGTATGCTCCTTCAATATTGATAGTAATTCACCAGTCACCCTGTATACTTTTGCCTATATTTTTGTGTAAATGTTGCATATGTGTACTGTTGGTGTTCCTAAGCAAAATAAATAAATAAATACAGCCGACAAACAGCTCATCACCAGCGAAATGAGTTCCGATAATACGGAGGATTACAAGAAATAAAACATTACCGCGGATATTATTCAATACAAATACAAAATATTTCTATATCAATAATATTGTTGTTTCTGTAATTTTCTATTTAAATAAAAAATATTTATTTAACACTATTTAATAAAATAAAAATTATCAAAAAAAACAACAGTTCAAAAGTTGGCGGTCATATATTTGTTAATTTTTACCTTTTACATGAAAGATTCTTTCCTATTTTAATTTTAGTTTGACATAAAGCTTACAACAAAAAAATCTTTTAACAATGCCATAAGGGATTTTAAATTGAACAACAATATTCATAAATTCAGTTAAAGAGAAAACATGAGGAAATTTTGTTAAAATAAAGGGCATGCCCTTCTACTGTTACTGTTTATTTAACAAAAAATATTTTATATTATTTTAAAAGCCAAATATTATTCAGCAGTACCGATGTCCATTTCCAAACTTGTTTCCACTTATTTGAATATATTAACTGTGTTTAACATGAAAGCAGATGAAAGTCAGTTGTTTTATTCAAAAAGCCGAGTCATTTGGAATCTTTCTCGAGTTATAATTTAATTTACTTTATGAAAAATGTTAATTTCCTAACGCCAGCGAGTTTTACGCTCTAAATCTTTTAATTAGGATCCCGTTCCGCTCGGTGGCGCCCTCTCTCGTTTCTAAGACTTCAGACAATAATTTTTATCGTGTTTGACTCGTTTTATGTGTAACTGTACATTAAAATTATCTGATCGCCAATAAAATGTTATTTATATTATTCGTGAAAGTCTTTTTGGGTAACATTAAATTGTATATTATATATAAATATTTAAACAAAAGGAAAATGCAATTTCTCGTGTTCGGAACGCATTCAGAATTGTTTGTATCTAGAACTTTGTTCTTAGCACTATATATTACTATTTTTATTGAAGTAGTATTTGTTTGTAGAAAAAAGGAAGACTGAATAAATCTTTAATACAGAGTTGTAGGATACTTGAATCAAAACAACGTTGACTTCGACATAGATGGTAGTGATCATCATAAAATGAAGGAACACTTCAACTTACTCGTATAACATTAAATATATAATTAAAGTGCATAGATGAAATTGTTTATATTTTCTGTCAAATTTGTATGTTGTAATGGATCTTTAAATTCTATATTTTTTGTATAATATTAATATGTAATTCTAATCGGGAATTTCTATAATGATTAATACATTTTTGTGACGAAAACTTCTCATCGTTCCATGGATTCTTCATTGCCGGAAGAGGAGCTTCAACAGTGTCTGGGACTTGCGACTAGGGTGTAAGTTTCACAGGGAACCGTAAGCTCTATTAAGACAACGTGATTTAAAATTCGCAAATACATATAATTATGTCTGGTCTGGAATTACCAACACACAAATATTCTCTATGATTTTATATTTTTTCTCATACGTATCCATCTTTATAATGGACTGTTATAAATATTTGGTTAAAACATATTTGATTTGTTTTCTTGAAAAAAAAAAGTTATAAGTGATATATTTCATTTAATAGATTTGATAAAAATATATATATAAGGAAAGTTATTAGAAAATTTGTCATATAATTTTGTATACATGTACATATACTTTTTAATCTGCGTACTGTTAGATAGCCAATTATTAAGCGACATCTGAAATATGTAACAAATTGTATGAAATAAAACATTAATATACGGCAACACTGGAGATGACAGCGACGCTATAGATACATAATGTTGACAGAACAACGGAGACACGACGAGAAAACATTTAAAATAATAAGATTAAAATTGGTTTAGATATGGTACTTGAAATATCTATTGACAATGCATTTTTTTGATTAAACATATATTTTTTTTCAAATATAATAAATCACATACATTAATCGAAATGATATATCATGAGACTAAATGTTAATCTTTTTATTGAAATTAAAAAAAACAAAGTGTTACGTTGTAATTTTTACATGAACATTTAATTAGGCGTACACCTACATCTTGATTACAGCTTTTTTTCATATCATATCCCGTTCATAGTTTTCTACTAGTTATAAAAATACTCTTCATCGCAGTTTCACATAATTAAACTACGACTATATTTATATATTACAATATAGTCTGATAGTATGTATTATACTGTAATATTCAAGGTGCTGCTTTCATCAATTATGATAAACTGCGTCGTCGCGTCCGCGGCCGCCTCGCCACACCACACGCACGCTAGCATTCCTCACAAGACATCACATATCACTCAGACTAGCTTTCAACCCCCAAACATATATAATAAATTAATGAAGAATCCTTCATATCATATCCTCAATACCTTACTCACAATAGTATCTTACGTTGCAGCCCTCACAAATAAAAACAACCTGGCACACGCCAGCCTGGCAGCGCCATCTGTAGGAGTGTTTTATAAAACTAAATCATCTGCGGCGCCACAAAATGCATAATAATATTCATTCAAATCCGACCAGCCGTTTAATAGTTCAGTGACATCACATATAGTAGAAATATATTGTCAGAAGTGGCGCTATTTGTGTCTTACTAATTATAATATACAGTAATATTTTTATGACTGACTAGAAGACCTGGCGAATTTCGTATCGCCCTATAATCAAGAAATATCTATTACGTTTTTTTATTTATATTTTGGAGTTTACCTGTTATCCATAAATCTCCGTGTTTTGAAGTGCGACAGAATGATTGACATATTACTTAGTTGTCAAACCTAATGTCAAGAAAAACGTTTATATGGGAAATAGAAAAAGGCTGTTTTCATGGTTTTCCCAGTAAGGAATGAAATTTTTCAGCTTTTATACCTTCCCTAAACTTCCACGAACATTTCAAGACTAAGATAAGATAAATCCGTTCAGCTGTTATCGAGTTTTAGCGAGACTAAGGAACAGCAATCCATTTTTATATATATATAGAAGATAGAAGATTATAATTAATTATAACACTGAACCATTGTGATTTTGTAATGGCAACATTTAAGTATCATTGTATTTGAAAACTATTAATAC